GGATATTTGGGGAGTAAACCAGCAGATGGAAGATCTCTGTCTGCCTATCTCTCTGTCATTCTGCCTTTCAAACAAACAAACAAACAAATTAATAAAATAAAGACTCGGAGAGCATTTTAAACTCATAGCTGATAAGTGATAAAACTAATATTCAAATCCAGGCAATTTTGCCTCTAACATTACCCTGTTATTTCATAAACTCCCCTTTTTTCATAATTTGAGATCTTTAAAATGTATTTAATTTGAAATATCTATTGATGGCAATCTATTGAAATTACTAGTGCATTTACACTTTGCTCCAGCTATCCCACTTCTGAAGGAATTGGTCTCACAGTCAAACCTGGAAATCACACATGCACAATGTCACCCATTGCAGTTTAGTTGGGAATAGCAAAAGGCTGGAAACAGTAGAGGCAGAAGGATTAATTCCACTATAGTGCATTCACACAATGGACTACCCTGTAGTTCTACAGAAGCATGAGGAAGCTGTCACTGAATTATTCAGAGAGATCTTTGGGGTTCACAGTCAAGTTGAACAGACAGCAACACTACAACCCAGTGTATCAAACTCTGTGCATGGTATGCTCCCTTTTGTGTAAGAAAGAGTGAAAGTGAGACAGTATTTGCTTGCTGTCTGTATGAAGGATGTCTCCTGAAGGCGGTGAGATTCTTCCTGAAGTAGTTACTTGAAGGGGGGAGTAGAAGGACACTCGGTGGGGCAGGTCTCTCAGTGGATGTCTTTAGACTTGAACTGTTAGTGCGGCAGCTACCCAAGCATTACAATTCCTCAAGTGTAGCACACTTACCCATTCACATCTCTCTGCATTTGGAACTTGGTTCTGCCCCTGGAAAGATGTATTTGGCTTATAAGCTCATAATATTCCTTCACTTAGCCATCAACTGATGGGTCAATCAACCCATTGATTTAGCCCATTCGTTCATCTGTATTCCAGGTGCTGGGCTAGCCACACAGGAAGTACTTGAGGAAGCAAACATAGCTGCTGCTATAAACCTGGACATAAAGATGGAGACTAGTCAGATCACCCAGAAATATATGAAAATGTCAACTATGCTACACAAGTGTGACAGTAATTCTGGGATGAGCCAGAGAGGATATTTTGGGCAAGTCTTCCCTGAGAAAATGGCTTCAGAACCTCAGGAAGTGCAGAAGATGATAGGCAGAGGGGCCAGCGCTGTGGCGTAGTGTGTTAAAGCCCCAGCCTGCAGTGCTGACATCCCATATGGGCGCAGGTTTGAGTCCCGGCTGCTCCACTTCTGATCCAGCTCTTTGCTGTGGCCTGGGGAAGCAGTAGAAGATGGCCCAAGTCCTTGGAACCCTGCACCCATGTGGGAGACCCAGAAGAGGCTCCTGGCTCCTGGCCTTGGATCAGCATAGCTCTGGCCATTGTGGCCATCTAGGGGGTGAACCAGCAGATGGAAGACCTCTCTCTCTGGCTCTACCTTTCTCTGTAATTCTGTCTTTCAAATAAATAAAATAATTCTTAAAAAAAAAAAAGCTGATAGGCAGAGAGAGAGGAAAGGCAGAGGGGACAGTGTTTGCAGAAGTTTTGGGCAAGAAGGAGTCACAGAATTTGAAGCCCCCCAGTAGAGCCCATGCTGCTGTGTGGGGGCTGAGGAGATGGGCAGATGTGTCACGGGGTGAGGGGCAGGCACACGTAGGATCTGGGGGAGATGCCCAGGATGAGGGTCTGCGTCATGACAGCCAGGTGGAGGCTATGAGGGAAGGGGAACAATGTGCTTCCAGCTGCATTTTAAGAGGATCACTGGGGGCTCTTTGGGGAATGCCTGGGGTGTGGAACAGGGGTTGACTCAGGGGATCCGCTGGGTGGCTGTTGCTAGAGCAGGCAAAAAGTGACCTTTGTTTGGACCATGGTGGAGGTCATGGTGACAGAAGGAGATGGCCTTGAGGGAAAGCAAAGCCAAGGTGGCTGGATGAAGGGTTTGACGAGGGGCTGAGCAGAGAGCGGGAGGCAAGCGTGGCCTCTGGGGGTGCCGTTGAGCACGTGCGGCTGGCATTTCCTGGAAGGAGGCCCAGGGGCGGGGGTGTTCAGGGGAACGCGTGAGGCTGGGCCGCCTCTGTCTCCCTGGAGCTGTCGCTCTCTCCTGGCTCACCTGCGGAGGCTTGGCCCTCACCTTTCGTGTTTCAGGTTTCGTCTGCTTCTGAAAGTCTTCCCTTTGGTGCTGCTCACCGCTTCCGTGTGTGCAGGGGCCTTGCACAGAAGGAGCCGGCTCAGGGAATGCAGCCCTAACACTGATGTTGCTTCTTGTATTCACGGAAGCAGCAGTGGGGTCACTGCTTTTTATCCATATGGAAAGGAGAAGACGGGAGATTCTCTTAGGCTTTTGATACTGGCACAGAAATGGAATGCAGTTTTCAAAGACTGACGTTTGCTCCTGCATAGCTCAGTTCAACAACGCAGCCACATTCAGTTGAGGACAAGTAAGTTACGCTCCTGTGCCAAACTTTGGGGCCTGAAGGCACCTGGGGTGACTGAGTTGTAACAGGACTGCAAGGACAGAGGCTTGTTTGGCTGAGGTGTTTGCTCCCTGCAGTGCGAGGCCTATCTTCCAACTCATGTATACTTTGGATGTCTCTAAACGCATATTCGGTTGGTAGTGACATATGAGGGGTCTTCAAAAAGTTTACGGAAAACATGCACTACAAAAAAAATCATGTGGATTTCACACTTTTTATACACAAATAAACTTATTTTTAATCCCCTTTTCCCTGAGCTTTTTGATGCTACCTCCCGTAAGTGTTGACAAATGGCCGTGGTTCATGGAGGAGCGCTGGAGACAGGAAGATTACAGCTCCCACAAGGGCCAAGACAGCGTCTCAAATGGTTGGCTTTCTGGTGTATTTTGTTGGATTTTCTGGAGGCCATGCACATGGCCTTAAAGTTTGCGATTGTGGGGACATCATTGACTACAGTCTCAGTGTCCGTGCTCAGAATTGGCATTGAGGCCCTGCTTGCCATGACTGGGCAGGGTGGATACTGAGGCCCGTTTCTGGGAGAGAGTGGAGTGCCTCACTGGCCTTACAGAACATTCTAGAGAACTGCACTGCAGTTGGAGAGCCTCTGCTTCAGGTTCCTTCCTTCCCTTTCTCCCTCACGTGGGTCAGACCTGCGTCCTGGTCTCACACCTCTCATAGCCTCTCCCACCCCTTCCCCAGGCTCTCTCTGGTAGGGACTGAATGTGCCCCTTTCCCTGAATTCATTTGTTGAAGTCCTAATCCCCAGGGTTAGGGCCTTTGGGAGGTATTAGGTCCTCAGGGTGGAGCCCCCAAGAGTGGGATTAGTGCCCTTACAAAGGAGACCCAGAGAGTTCTCTTGCCCTCTTTAGTATGTGAAGATACAAGGAGAAGTCAGGGATCTGTGACCCGTAACCTTGACCTGACCATGCAGACATCTGATCCCACACTTCTAGCTTCCAGCCCTTGTTAATCAAAACAAGATGCACCTGCTTCATCCGGGTCCTAAGAGGGGACATCATGGAAATGTGGACATTAAGCTCCACGTGGGACTTGTATAGCTGTCACAAAATCACCAGGTGCTTCACACCTGCTGAGGCACCACCCTGTACCGCATGAGAGAAGCCAGCGACGGGGGGCAGCTCTCTCTGTTGCTGCAGACCACAGCTGCAGGTGCTGCGCAGGTGCCCTCTCTGTCTCTCCCCGCCGCCCCCGCCCCGGGTAATCCTCTGGCCCACTGCCCACTTATGTTGGGTATTGCTCCATGTGGGGCAACCCATGCTCATGCTTGAACGTGGGCTCGCTTTTTCACCTGTTGAATGAATTAATGTTGTTATCACTTATATGTGCACTTTCTATGCGTCTGCACTTAGAATGCTTGTCTTGGTGTGAGGCAAGAGCTTGGAGTAAGATTAATACACCCTTGTCCACATCAGTAGCATTTGAGTGAAGACCTAAAGAAGATAAAGGAGGGAGTTTGCTGACCCCTGGAAAAGGGCATCGGGGAAGGTCACAGCCAGTGCACAGACTCTGTGGCGGGGGCAGCTAACTTTGTTCTCTCTTAACCCTGGGTGGGTTCTTGGTGTAACTGTAGCCTGTACAGACCTACATGAACACATCCTTACCCTCCTCTTTAGGTGGAAAAATAGCAGTTGTCTGTCAATGTAGTAAACACGAATGAGAACTTTCTGAGCCGTGATAGAGTGTGGTTGCCTGTCTTCCACCTGGGTGTTGAGACAGACTTTTTCTGGGTTAAAGGACACTTCTTATTTATGGTCAGCTTCCAAGAAAACTTTTTTAAAAAAATCGAATCAATTTCTCATTTATTACATTTTGTTTTGTAAAAGATTTTATGTCAGTGACTGAAGAGGGAAGGTGCCGATAGTAAAATAATTGGTTTATAAGTGGAAAATTAATCAGGCTCTCCCTTTTGCATTGTCCCCGCCAAGGTCAGGCCATGACTGAAATGCAAAGAATACTTGTTTGTGCAGCAGGTGGGTGCTAGGTGTGTGTGGAGGGTTGTTAACCTCGGGCTCCCTCCTGGAGGTAAGTGTAGAGCAGATGCCTGAGTGAGCTTCAAAGGAAAAGGACGGTGTTGTATCTGGATGTAAGAATGACGATTGCACTTCCATTAATTAGGATAACAATTACGGGAGCTTGAGGGGTCCCACCAAACCCCCAGGAAGACTTTTTCCCTGGTGGGTATAATAATATCGCTATTTTCCGGGTACCTTTCTGATATGTATCATACTTCTCAGACTCCCTTTGTAAAGACTGCTGCCGGGGGCACACTTGGGGGTTGCTAGAACATTCTTTGGTTTCAGTCAGGCAACCGTCTGCCTTCTGGGAGTGTTGATTCCTCTGTTGGGAGCAAGAGGCCGGCTGGACTCAACTTTGTCTGGAAGTGCGAATGCCATGTCCCGGTTTCGGTGAAACAAAAGGTCTACTTCCTGGTTGACTTTCTGTTTGCACACTGATAACGAATTTCTTCATGTTGTTGACCCAGATGTAGTCGTATCTCGCCTGCTGACAGCGCGCGCCTTGCGGATTGGCTGCCGTGGAATTTACTGGGCTCCTGTTGAACACGGACTCTGTTTTCCTGGAAAATGGAATAATGGAACAGCTGACCTGTCTGCTGTGAGCCGAGCTGGGTTCCAAGAACAGCACTGCAAGTCACTCTGCCTGATTCACCTTCAGGCCTCGACCTGGAATTTCTGTTGGTGGCAACAAAGCTGCCATGGAAAACCACAGACTTCACCTTTGCAAAACAAAGCTCCCACTTAAAAAAATAAAAGGCAGACAAAGTTTTAAGAAACTGTCATTTAAGGTTCATGGGTGATACTTACCTTAGGGTCAGTGTCACAAAAACGTCTATGATAAAATTGCCAGGGCTTTCCACGACACAGCCCACAGCCTCTGCAGAAAATTCTCAGGTTGTCATTTGGGGGGGTCATTGTGAGAGAAGGAGAGGAGACGGGCACAGTGGTCTGGATCAGTGATGCTTCTGAACGTGGGTGGGGCCACGGTTTGGTGCATGTGAGACCCTGAGATCTTTGTAAGCTGAACGCATCACTCTTGCCCTTTTCTTTATTATTATTATTATTATTATTATTTTGACAGGCAGAGTTGGACAGTGAGAGAGAGAGAGGCAGAGAGAAAGGTCTTTCTTTATCCGTTGGTTCACCCCCCAAGTGGCTGCTACGGCTGGTGTGTTGCAGCCGACGTGCTGCACTGATCTGAAGCCAGGAGCCAGGTGCCCCCTCCTGCATGCGGGTGCAGGGCCCAAGCACCTGGGCCATCCTCCACTGCACTCCCGGGCCACAGCAGAGAGCTGGACTGCAAGAGGAGCAACTGGGACAGAATCCGGCGTCCAAACCTGGACTAGAGCCTGGGGTGCCGGCGCCGCAGGTGGAGGATTAGCCTAGTGAGCCGTGGCGCTGGCCTCTTGCCCTTTTCTTTACTCCTTCCTTACAGGAAATGCCAAGACACCACATTCGCTGGTACTTCTTGAAATCCCATTGCTATTTCCCATCTGCAGAGCCTTGCGGGGGGGTCCTCTAGAATAGTGTCCCTAGGAGTGCTCATTTAATCATTCTCCTGCAAATATTCCCCAGAGCACTTTGCTCTTTCTTTCTATGGGGCAGAGACACAGGGGCTTTAGGTCAGAAATTAAATGCAAAACCACGTATGGCCCCTGGGCTGCGGTCTTCTTACAAGTAAATTGTTTTCTTCCCTTCAGAAGTCACTGCTAACAGACAACCTCCTGTTGCTGTTGGTGACGCAGGGCTGGGGAGAGACTGGGCAGGAATGTGCCGGGGGTCCTAATACCTACATTTCTGTCTTATTGGTCCCCAGTGTCCAAGGACTGGGCAGACACAGCATGCAGGCTGATTTTTGGCACAGAAAATGAAAGGAAGCCAGGCAGGACAGGCAATACAAACCCATGGGAAGTGTCTTCTTAAGTTGGATGAATGCCAGCAGCATGAGCCAAGGTGACTTCAGCGAGGGTTCCTGGGCACTGGCTCTGGCTCTCCAGACCTGCTCTACCCCAGCACCTTCCCAACCAGTCCTGCCCTCCCCCGTGTCAGTGCGCCTGGGTTTGGTGAGGATGACGATGTATTCGGTCTGAGGGTTACCTTTGTGGCTGGAAGCTCATAGGTTTCCTAGAAGCTTCTGGAATCTGTAGCCCCTCAGCTGAGGGACATACACATAGTGTCATTGTGACACCCGAAATCTTAACTCGTAATCCCGTGACTGTCACAGAGTGTAGTTCCAATCCCTGGAAAACTGCACCCTGCAGGAACCTCCCTGGATAGCTTACTCTGGGGGAGCTGACCAGCCTCGGGTGTGGCCCCAGGCAGGCAGGGACAGAAAGAGGATGGGGGTCAACATGTTAAGAGAGGGGGTCCCTTTCTCTCTGGCACAGACAACAGAATAACTTTATGCAGAAGACTCAAATGAAAGCTAGAACTCCAATCTGTCGATTTTCTACAAGAGATGGAACCGCAGAGAGGCTAAATTCTCAAGAACGCCAGGCAGGTAACCCGGGTGGGGGATGGAGGAAGTGTCGTGGGCATGGACTCAGCTGGGGTGTTAGCAAGGACGCTACTCAGAGTCCCGTGCGCGCTCCGTGGAGGTGGAGTGGTGCTCCTCCCACCCCCAGAGGTATGACTGTCTGAAAGCTGTGAACGCTACCTTTTTGGAGAAAGTGTTCCTGTGGATATAACTAAGACTCCGGGGATGGAATCATCTGGGGTTGGGCTGTGTCCTGAATCCAGTGACAACTGACAAAGTGTCCTCATTAGGAAGAAAGGATGGCTGTGTGAAGACAGTGGCCGGGGCTGGTGTCACGGAGGGAGCCGAGGTTCGCACTCGGCCACCAGAGCCAGGGAGAGGCATAGACTCGTTCTGTTCTACTTCAGAGCCCCTACAAGGAACCCACCCCACTGCTTCTCAGCCTTTTGGCTGAGATCGCGTGTAGGAACCCACCTTGCCCACACCTTGAAATGAGCTTTCTGGCCTTCAGAACCATGAAAAAAAATATATATATATATATATTTAGACAGTGAGAGAGAGAGAAAGAGAGAAAGGTCTTCCTTTTTCCATTGGTTCACCCCCCAAGTGGCTGCTATAGCCGGTGTGCTGCGGCCAGCGCACTGCGCCAATCCGAAGCCAGGAGCCGGGTACTTCCTCCTGGTTTCCCATGCAGGTGCAGGGCCCAAGGACCTGGCCATCCTCCACTGCACTCCCTGGCCACAGCAGAGAGCTGGCCTGGAAGAGGAGCAACCGGGACAGAATCTGGCACTCCAACTGGGACTAGCACCCGGTGTGCCGGCGCCGCAGGTAGAGGATTAGCCTAGTGAGCCGCAGTGCCGGCGAAAGAATATATTTTAAGCTGCCCAATTGATGGTGATTTGTTATGGAGTATGTTATAGGAAGCCAGTGCACTCTCCACTTCCTCAGAGATGGCCTGAGGTCAGGCCCCTCCTCCCCTTCACGGTGCTGACATGGGCCTGGCCAACATTTGCCCTCAGCCCTGATGGGTTTGGAGTTTAACTCTGAGTGACCACCTTATGCCGCAAGCATTCTTGAGGGTAGTAATAAAGGTGGAGGAGACTTCTGCAGAAAGTGTGTTCCACAAGGCTGAAAATCCCAAAAGGTTCCTTTCATTTCTTTGCATGAACTCACCAGCTCCGAGTGGTTCCACGACTTTGTTTCTTCTCCTGGGGCTTTGGGTGTGAACTGCGCGGTAGGTGCACCGTCTGCTTCATCAGTGGCCAGGCTGTGAAGAGGCGCTGGTTCAGGTGTCTTTCCTAATTTAAAGGAGAGTTTATCTGGGAAACAAGTTTCATGGAAGACAGAATGCTTGTGCTGCCTCTGGGGGGTGAGTAGTGGTTCTGACGTGGAGATGGGGGGAGGGTGGCATGAGGCTTTGATGGGGCTCTCACATCGACTGCAGGAGGAGGGAAGCAGCCAGCAGGGATGACCGAGAAGACCTGCTTTGCACACTGAGCAGCTGTTGGTGGGTGATTTGGAGCCCCCGGGGAGAGCCAGGCAGGAGGGCATTGCGATCAGATTGGATTCCGGCAGGAGCCCTTTGGCAGCATGCTGGGGTGGAGTGGGGTGACGGTGGAGGAGGCAGAGGAATAGCTGGCAAGCTCTTTCAGTCTGTTTTCTGTTGCTATGGCAGAATACCCAAGACTGCGTAATTTGTAAAGGAAAGAAGCGCGTGGTCCTCCTGGAAGCTGAAGTCCGTGATTGGTTGCATCTGGGGAGGGCCTCATGCTGACAGAGGAGCGGGAAGGCAAGTGGATGTGCACAAGAGAAACAACACGAGAGGCACCCTCACCTTATAACAACTTGCCTCGCTCCTGCAGTAACGCACCCAGTACTGCAAGAGCGAGGGCTCACTCACACCTGCGAGAACCAGCCCAGTTCCAGGTCAGCAGCGTGGACCCCTTCACGAGGGCTTCTCTGACCCAAACACTTCTCACAGCCCTCGCTGTCTCCCACCACGGTCACGCTGGGAACCAAGCCGGCCGAACCACGGTGCAGACTGTGGGAATGAGAAGCCAGAATCAAGGTGGAACATGATCTTGAGTTGTGAGGCTTTAGGACTCCGTGTTGCAGTTCACATCACGTTTCCCGTTCCCCCATTTCCAAGCGGCGCTGAAGCACACATGACTTACAAGTAGCAAGGTGTGTGTGAAAGTGGTAACCCTGTTAGGAGCAGGTCATCAGCGCTGAGGTTCCATTGCCCCGGGTAAACTGTTCCATGAGGCAGCTTCGAGTTGGAACGAGAGGAATGACAGTGAACCATGGGCTACACCACACGGGGCTTGACTCTCCATCTTTTTTTTTTTTTAAGATTTTTTTTTTTATTTGCAAGGCGGAGTTACAGAGAGGGAGAGACAAGGAGAGACAGAGAGGTCTTCCATCTGCTGGTTCACTCCCCAAATGGCCACAATGGCTAAGGCTGGGCCAGGCCAAAGCCAGGAGCTCGGAACTCTGTCCTGGTCTCCTTTGTGGATGGCAGGGACCCAAGCACTTGAATCATTATCCACAGCTTTCCCAGGCTCATTAGGGAGCTGGGTCAGAAGTGGAGCAGCTGAGACTGGAACTGGCACTGATATGGGATGCTGGTGTCACAGGTGACAGGCTTAACCCATCTGGCATTCTGCCCCCAACTCTTCCATCTTTACCAAGATCCATAATCCAGGTATGTTTTGATTAAAGCCAAAATAATAATTATATACAATTAAGCTAAGGTTAGCTACCAGGTGTTTCTGGAGGGGGAGTTATGTTTCCATAACATGCATTCAACCCCAAAATAGAAAAAGTGATCAGGGGCCGGTATTGTGGCGTAGCGAGTTAAACTTCCACCTGCGAAGCCAGCATCACGTGTGAGAGCTGGTTTGAGTCAACTTCCCCTCCAGCTCCCTGATAATGCACCTGGGAATGCAGCAGAAGGTGGTCCAAGTCTGGGCCTCTACTACCCATGTGGGAGACCTGGATGGAGTTCCAGGCTCCTGACTGCAGGCTGGCCCAGCCCTGGCCATTGTGGGAGTGAATCAGCAGATGGAAGACCTCTCTCTCTCTCTCTCTCGTTCTTTCTGTAACTCTGTCTTTCAAATTAAGAAAATAAATCTTTAAAAAAGAAAAATGATCAACAAGTGGTATATTAGTCAGTTTTTCATCGTAGCAAAATGTCTAACCCAGTGGACTTACGAAGGGAAGGCGTTTTACTTTGGCTCATGGTTTTTGAGGTTCACGATTCAGCAACAGGGGACTCCCACTGGCTGGCCCTCTGGTGAGGCTGGAGGGTGGCCATGGGCAAGTGTGTGCTGAGAAACAACCGCATGGTGAACCAGGAACCCAAGAGAGTGGCTGGATCTGAGTCGCCTGTTGTAACCAACCCAAAGCCAGCCCTCGCAGGGAACTACCTTGATCTCGCACACAGGGACCTCCTGCTAGGCCACCTCCTAGACCCCATAATTGGGTTACATTTCCACCCTCTCAGCACCACTGGCACAAGACTTTGAGGCTTAAACTTTAAATATCTGCCTGAGTCCAGGAGCCACAGCCGATTCAAACCCTAGGGAGTGAGCAGGATGTGACCCCGCTCTTCCAAGCATCTTGTCTTATGGTGTATGCACCCATCCTGGCATCTTGTGTTCCTGGTGTGGTGTCTGGCATGCCACAGGTGCTCACTCGATTAAAGAAAGAATGGAAAAAGGAAATAAAAAAATACCAAGCCAGGATTTCTTCACCACCTGCTGGTGTACAGTTTTTCTCTCTGTCTGAGATCACACAAACTGGAGTTAGTCAAACAGAATCTTACTGGTCAAACATTTGCTTTTCCAGATACAGGGGACTTCTAGCCCATATTCTGTCTGGGTGAGCCTGCTCACGCCTTTCTTGTTCTTGGTTCTTTGCAAACACGGGCTGAGCCCTGAGCTTCAGCCCCTCCTTGTTCTTTTCTCTTCTGTTCGCTGGGGTTGAGGGGTAAATGCTGAATAAACAGAAATTCCTCTGAGTCCAGGGCTCTTTTGTTTGTTTGTTTAAAGATTTTATTTATTTTATTGGAGAGGTAGAGTTACAGACAGTCAGAGGGAGAGACAGAGAGAAAGGTCTTCCTTCAGCTGGTTCACTCCCCAAATGGCTGCAATAGCAGGAGCTGTGCCGATCTGAAGCCAGGAGCCAGGAGCCAGGAGCTTCTTTCTGGTCTCCCACGTGGGTGCAGGGTCCCAAGGACTTGGGCCATTTTCTACTGCTTTCCCAGGCCACAGCAGAGAGCTGGACTGGAAGAGGAGCAGCCGGGACTAGAACCGGCGCCCATATGGGATGTCATCGCTACAGGCGGAGGATTAACCCACTGCGCCATGGCGCCGGCCCCTCCCCGGGCTCTTTACAAAGGTAATCACAACCTGCAGCTACTCATAGTCTACAGGTGCTTGGACCTCTCTGGCTTGATTGCTGTGTAACCTGTCATTCTAGACACCCAGAGACAGCACAGCGGGGATGTCCTTCTAGTGTCACATGAAGCAGAATCGGTTACTCGAAAGTGTCCTTGCCCAAATAGAAACACCCCATGCGTTTCTTTGCATTTTGTTTCCAGGTGTGTATCTTCAGCTCCTGTGGGTTGGTGATAGAATCTCACCTAATGGGAAAGAGGCCTCTCATACAAAAGTAGTCAGGTGCTCCTATGTTCATGAAGTCTGTGTTATTAATAAGTGAGAGGGTAAAACAGAGCACTTTCCTCTGATTTAAAAAGAAGTAATCGGGCCGGTGCAGTGCTGCAGTAGTTAATCCTCTGCCTGCGGCGCTGGCATCCCATATCGGCATTGGTTCTAGACCCGGCTGCTCCACTTCTGATCCAGCTCCCTGCTGTGGCCTGGGAAAGCAGTAGAAGATGGCCCAAGTCCTTGGGCCCTGCATCCACATGGGAGATTGGGAAGAAGCACCTGGCTCCTGTCTTCAGATCGGCGCAGCTCCAGCTGTTGTAGCCATTTGTGGAGTGAACCAATGGGTGGAAGACCTTTCTCTCTGTCTCTCCCTCTCACTGTCTGTAACTCTACCTCTCAAATAAATAAATAAACTCTTAAAAAATAAAAAAGTAATACAAGCTTATTTTAATAAATTTGGAAAATACAGAAAGGTGCTGGAATTATCTGGGACCCATTATTCAACTCTTATTATTGTTATTTGATGTATTTCCTTTCTACTTTTTTTTCTGCATGTACACAATATTTGTGTGTGATAATATATACATTATATGATTTATGAAGGTATAGAAAAAGTTTGCAGAGAAGAGAATTAAGAGGTAAGTTTATAGTGGTGCCAAAAAGTTTGAAATCCATTGGTCAACTTAAGATGATTTGATCCTTGGTGTGGCTACATATTTGATGACTCCAACAGAACATCACATAAAGGATATTTTCTGTTTATTGAAGAGGGACATAGGTGTGTTTCATCTATAGAGCGAGTGCTATTTGAAATTTTAATTATTTGAGAGGCAGATAGAGCGCTCCCATACGCTGGTGCGTTCATTCCCCAGATGTCTACAATACCCTGGGCTGGACTGGGCTGAAGTCAGGAGCTGAGAACTCGAGTCAGGTCGCCCATGTGAGCGGCAGGCATCTAACTACTCGAGTCATCACGTCTGCATCTCAGCATCAGGATCGATCTGATTTATGATGAGAGCAATATTTGGTGCTGCCTCTTCTCTTTCTTAGTTATCTAACACACATCTTATTTTCCCTCCTGAAAGGCCAAAATTGTAGAAGTGATTAAACCTCAGTAGGAGGGTTTAGCTCAAGCTGGTGTTGAATGCAAATGCAGTGCCTGATAGATGAGGTCCCAGCCTGAGGCAGTAGGGTTCAGAATTCCAATGCATATTCTTTGCAGAAGGCAATCAACCCATAAGGGCTTCATTGCTTACTGAGCCTCTCCTTGTGAGCTCAGGAAATTATGGTTCTTTACAGCATATATCTCTGCAGTAAAATACGAATCATTCTTCCTTTCTTTTTTTTTAAATTTTTTTTGACAGGTAGAGTTAGACAGTGAGAGAGAGAGAGACAGAGAGAAAGGTCTCCTTTCCATTGGTTCGTTCCCCAAATGGTCGCCACTGCCGGCGCTGCGCCAATCCGAAGCCAGGAGCCAGGTGCTTCTTCCTGGTCTCCCATGTGGGTGCAGGGCCCAACCACCTGGGCCATCCTCCACTGCACTCCTGGGCCACAGCAGAGAGCTGGACTGGAAGAGGAGCAACCGGGACAGAATCTGGCGCCCCGACCAGGACTAGAACCCGGGGTGCCAGCGCCGCAGGCGGAGGATTAGCCTAGTGAGTTGCGGCGTCGGCTTATTCTTCCTTTCTAAGAATGAACGCAGGAGGCCCTTTGAAGCACTTCCACTTTGAAGGAATAATTTGGCATTGCTTCAGGTCCTGTGCTGTTGGAGTGATCTTCTCTCCATGTTTACCTGTGTCATTGCAAAAGGGAAAACTAAGAGAAGCTGTTATTTTAAGTAATAGGAGACAGTGCAGGATACATCTGGGTTGAATCTAGAGTTATCTGGCTGTGGGCTCTCCGCTGGATCGGTGCACTGGTGTGTCACGGTGGCAGTAGCCGTGCTGTGTGAGCTTCCGTGTGCAGACATTACCTGCGGAGCATCTAACTCGGCTACCAGAGCTTTGGGCCTGCGTGTGCTCTAATAATTCCATTTATGGTTCAGCCAATGCAGAAAAAGGCAGCAGCAGCCTTAGCAGTCTGAGACCGGGAAATTTATGAAGAGGTTTATTTTCTCAGGGTTCTGGAGGCTGGCACGTGCCAGGTCATGGCGCCTGCAGGTTCAGCTGTGGAACGGGGACCACATTCCCCAGAGGGGATGTGTGTGCCCATGTGTCTGATGCAAGCAGGAGTGTATGTGTGTGTGCACGTGAGCCCGTGCTTGTGTGCATGTGAGTAGGTCTTCCCCAGCCTCATCTCCATGGCCCGTCCCGTGGGGCGCCCTGTGCAGGCTCAGCCAGGCCTAGAGCTGGTGTTCAGATACCTGTTGAGGAGCGGCGGGCAGGTGGGTGTTTCAAAACGGGGACAGCATGAAGGGGTGGAGAAAGTGGGCTCAGCCGAGACGGGCCAGAGTCTGTGTGTTGTGCGGCGTGAGGCCAGGGGAGGCGACAGCGCAGGCTGACAGGAAGGGCCGCAGGGGTGTGCAGCTGGAAGCGTCACAAGGAGAAGGCAGCTCAGCAGGATGCCCTGCCTGGAGCTGCCCGGGCTGGGGAGGCTGCAGGCAGCAGAACCCGGGCAATCTGGGAAGGAGATGGGGGAGAAGACAAAGGCAGCGATGCACGGTGAGAGGTAAATCTCTTTAAACGAAAATGTTCTGTAATTATCCCTTTGGTTTAGGAGAGAGAACATTATGAAGTTGCAAAAAGCAAAGAGACAGTGATGGGCAGGTGGCTCAGCACAGGGGCCAGACCTTGTTTCCAGGGGCTGGTTTAAGTCCTGGTTACTCTGCTTCGGATCCAAGTTCCTCCCAGTGGGAGGCAGCAGTGATGGCTCAAGTACCCGGGCCCCTGCCACCCCCGTGGGAGACCTGGATGGAGCTCCTGGCTCCTGGCTTCAGCCTGGCCCAGCCCTGGGTGTTGGAGGTATTTGGGGAGTGAACCAGCTGAGCGGAGATTCTTCTCTCTGTTCCTCCCTGCCCCCGAATCTCTGCCTGTCAAATGAAGTGAAAATAAATCTAAAAATAAAGAAATCAAACAGCTTGTTGTAAGTATTGCACATTTCGAATGAATGACAGAATATTCTTTTATTTCTAGAGCTTTGGAAAGTTATAATAGGAAAGCAAATGATTTAGTCTTTCTTTGGGGGATGATCTGTTTGGAAAGTAAGATTTCGTTTTGTCTTTCATAGATCGAGCAACAGAAGAAAGATGTTTTCTACTGAGATGTATTGCCACCGGATTTAAATTTGGGAAATCCTCTTTTTCATTAAGGCTTTTACCTCGCCCACCCCCAAACACAGCGCAGTGCTTGGACACATCGGGTGTTCAGTAATGACTTACCAAATGAGGCCCGATGCCTTCCTCCGTCGGTGTGTGTGCTGCCCTGTGTTTTGCCCTGCTGGTCACTAGATGTCTCTACCTATCTGTGCTACATCTCCATTTCCGTGTCGACTCCGTGGTGCACACAGAGAGAACCGTTCAGCCCGTGGACTGCTGCTTAAACTCCGTGATTTTCCCTCCTCACCGGGTGCCGGTTTCAGGCACTCTGGACCACTGGCACGCCGGCGGTTTGGGAGAAGAATCAGAGCAGATGTTGTCCCTTAGGGAGGGCTGGAACTCTCTACCTCCCTGTGCTGAAAATGCGGGGACATTCCGCGTTCAGCAAATGTGGAAACCGGCCAGACAGGGACTTCAGGAGCCTGCAGGAGGGCTCATTGCAGAGTGCTGGGTCCTGCAGATGTCGTTTGGGCTGGTGGAGCCGTGGTTGGCCTGCTCATCCGTCATTGCTAGGGGGCAGGACCACCTGTTGCCAGATAGATGCTACCCACTGTGCTATGTGCTTGGCAGTCGCACTTTGGACCATTGGCGTAACAGAAGAGTTACAGCTGGCCTGGCTTTCAGAGTGTCTGTAGTGGTGTTTCCCCCTGCAGGGGTAGATGCAGTCGTGAACAGGGGGCTGTCTCACAGGGTGGGGGTACAACACAGTTTGCAAGGTTGTGGCTAATGTAGAGTTACTTCTCACATCCGTGTACATGGCTACCGCAAAAGAATAGCATTGACAAGGAGGAGTTCTCTTTGGGACAAAACATTTCTTTGAGGGGCTGGTGCTGTGGCTTAGTGGGTAAAGCCGCTGCCTGCAATGCTGACATCCCATATGGGTGTCAGTTCAAGTCCCTGCTGCTTCACTTCCGATCCAGCTCTCTGCTAAGGCCTGGGAAAGCAGTAAAGATGGTTGAAGTCCTTGGGACCCTGCACCCACGTGGGAGACCTGGAAAAAGCTCCTGGCTCCTGGCTTCGGATCAGTGCAGCTCCTGCCATTGCAGCCAACTGGGGAGTGAAACAGTGGATGGAAGAACCCTCTCTCTCTTTCTCTCTCTCTGCCTCTCCTTCTCTGTGTAACCCTGAATTTCAAATAAATAAATAAATCTTTAAAAAAAAAACAGAAAACATTTCTTTGAATAATAATATTTGTCTTCCTCCAGTACAGAGGTGACACATCACCCATTGTAGAAAATTTGGGAAATACAGACAAGTATCATGAAAGTAATACTTTTTTTTTTTTGGACAGGCAGTGTAGACAGTGAGAGAGAGAGAGAGACAGAGAGGAAGGTCTTCCTTTACCATTGGTTCACCCCACCGTGGCCGCTGTGGCTGGCACGCTGTGGCTGGCACACCGTGCTGATCCGAAGCTAGGAGCCAGGTGCTTCTCCTGGTCTCCCATGCGGGTGCAGGGCCCAAGGACCTGGGCCATCCTCCACTGTACTCCCAGGCTACAGCAGAGAGCTGGACTGGAAGAGGAGCAACTGGGACAGAATCCAGAAAGTAATACTTTTTATCATTTTAGAGACAAAATTGAAATCATATTGTGTATATACCTTTATATCCTCCTTTTCACATCATATTTTCTCATGAATATATTCCCATATCATTAAATATTCTCCAAAGACCTGAGTTTTGGGGTTGGCATTGTGGCATAGTGGGTTAAACCGTCACTGGGAAGCTGGCGCCTATACGGGCACTGACCAGTTGGAGGATTGGAATCCCAAATTCTCCATCCAGTTCATTGCTAATGTGTCTGGAAAAGCAGTGGAAGGTAGCCCTAATCCTTGGGCCCTTGCCACTCATATGGGAGACCCATATGGAGTTCTGGGCCCCTGATTTCAGCCTGGCCCAGCCCCGGCCCCAGCCATTGTCACCTTCTGGGGATTGAACTAGAGGATGGAAGATCTCTGTCTCTGTCTCTTCCCCTCTCTCTGTAGTTCAGTTTTTCAAATAATAAATAAATCTTCAAAAAAAAAAAATCTGAGTTTGTGTGGCAAACATTTGATCCCATCTTCTGCTGCATTTTGTTCAACAGTTTCCCCACGGGTGGACACTTTGGTTTTGTTTTAACTTCTTGACTTTCAGAAACTGTGATGAAACACATTTTCATGCATATCTCTGATTCTTTCTATGATTAAAATTCAATTATTCATTTGAAAGCAGAAAGGGGGTGGGAAGATCTTCCTTCACTGCTTCACTCCCCCGATGCCGTAACAGTCAGGGCTGGGCCAGGCTGATTCTGGGAGGCAGGAATTCCGTCTGGCCCTCCACCTGGGTAGCAGGAACCCAAGCACTTGGACCATCTCCCAGGTGCGTCATCGGGAAACTGGAGCAGAAGTGCTGAGTAGCCAGGACTTGAGCCAGGCAGTCTGATATGAGATGCAGGCGTTCTAACCAGCGGTTTAATCTGCTGTGCTACAACACTAGCCACACACATACTTGTAATGTGCAAGCAAAATGCAGCCTTTCTCAGAAAGAGTTCCTCCGTCTTTTGTTTGATCAGGAGACCTTGAAATTAGGACAGAATCTGAATTCTGGAAAATATTTCTTGGCACCCTTTTCATATAGAACAATATCAGTGGTGGAAAACCCAGATTGTCCCACTTTGCAAGTAAGTTATTTTTCTTGTTGCTTCACTCCAATATCACTCATTTCCTGACAGTTTAAATCTAAAGTCTAAAGGCTTTTGCTTTTTTACAACCCTACTTAAGTTTACAGGGTCTTCAATCGTCTGGAGAGACCTCTGAGGCCTTCAGTGTATTGTTTTTTTTTTTTTTTTTTGACAGAGTGGACAGTGTGAGAGAGAGACAGAGAGAAAGGTCTTCCTTTGCCGTTGGTTCACCCTCCAATGGCTGCCGCGGCCGGTGCATCACACTGATCCAAAGGCAGGAGCTAGGTGCTTCTCCTGGTCTCCCATGGGATGCAGGGCCCAAGCACTTGGGCCATCCTCCACTGCACTCCCTGGCCACAGCAGAGAGCTGGCCTGGAAGAGGGGCAACTGGGACAGAATCTGGCGCCCCGACCAGGACTAGAACCCGGTGTGCTGGTGCCGCAAGGCGGAGGATTAGCCTAGTGAGCCGCGGCACCAGCCTCAGTGTATTGTTAAGGGCATCCAGTGCCCTCTGTGGCACCTGACCCATCTCTGGAACCCTTAATGTAGATGATACAAATGAGGCTTGGTCTGATTAAAAAGTTTGGAATCAGGGCTGGCGTTGTGTCACTGAGAGTTAAGCTGCTTCCCACAATGCTGGCATCCTGTATGAGCGCTAGTTCTAGTCCTGCCTTTTCCACTTCCAATCCAGCTCCTTGCTAATGTGCCTAGAAAAGCAGTAGAAGATGGTCCAAGTGCTTGGGGCCCTGCACCCACGTGTGAGACCTGGATGGAGGTCCAGGCTCTTGGCTTCATCTTGGTCCAGCTGTGGTCATTTGGGGAATGAACCAGTGATGGAAGTGTGCGCTCGCTCTTGCTCTCTCTCTCTCTCTCTGTTTCCCCTCTCTATAACTCTGCCTTTCAGAACAATGAATACATCTTTCACAGGAAGTCTGGAATTTAGGGGCAGGTGTTTGGGTTTGGGTGCAGCTGCTTGTCAGGATGCTCAGGTCTCACGTCTGAGTACCTGGGTGGAACACCTGTCTCCAGCTCTTGTCTCCAGCTCCTGATACCGCAGACCCTGGCAGGCAGTAGGTGAGAGTTCAGGTGACTGGGTTCCTGCCACTCACGTTGGGAGACCTGTACTGCATTCCTGGCTCCCAGCTTTGTGGGAATTTGCAAGAGGAACCAGTGGATAAGAGCTCTGTCTCTGTCTCTCTCTACCTCTCAATGGAGACAACAATAATGGGGCAAACAAGAAAAAAAGACTTTGGAGTCTAAAGAGCAGTGTTGCCAGCACAGTTCTTGGAACCAGCCCTGCTCTTTCACCAGGAAGGACACGTTTTATTCTCATTGTAATGGGATCTAAAATGTCCAGGTTTGAAAGCATTTCAGTGACAATTAGCGTGGAGAAAAAGCTCTGTTTTAATTTTTAAAAGGCTGACATTGAACTAAAAAGATATTAATTTAACTTTTAATGTCTTTTGAAATAAAAATTAATTCATTTCTAAAAGTCATCTTTGATACACAAGAGAAGCTCCCTCTCTCTCTCTCTTTTGTTTTTTCAAATGGAGTTCTTTAAAAAAAAAATGAAATGAAAGGAAAGATGTGTTTCCTTCCTGAATGGTGAATGGTGTTTTTGTTGTTCTGGGAAAAGCAGACAGTTCTCCTTTAAACCTGTGTATAGGTCTTTTAATGTTCTCGTTCTGCTTTGGATGTCACAAATTATGGAAGTCATGGCTCAGAAACAAGGGTTCTGTGCAATGTTCCTTTCCTGGCCCTCTGGTTTGTGTCCTGCCACTTTTCCCACACTCTTTCAAGTTCATTGGTGTATCTGCCTGCCTCCAGGCAGGTTGTCAGAGGCTCCTGGCATCTGGCCTGCCTGAGCCTTGGGCTCCGTGCAAACAGGGTGGGCAGGTGTGCTAGGGGAGAAGTTGGCCTGCAGGGTCCTTCTTGTCACTGCTGGCTGCTTGTCACTCCCCAGGTCTCACATGCTCAGTCCACCAGGCTGCTCAGGCTTGCTGGATTCCACTCAAGTCCACGTTCCCTGAGCCCAGGCTCTGTTGACGCAAGACTATCCATTAGACTACAGATTTTATTATGCGGTCACTAGTTTATTCACCAATGTCTTTTGGCTCTTCCAGAATCTAATATTGAACACTATGTTGCATTCGTAATTACAGCTCCTTAGTCTTCCCTAGTCTACAACAGTTTCTCTCTCTTTTAGTGTTTTTCATGTCCTTGATGTTTA